GAAAAACTGGTGAAATCCCAAAAGACTCTGGTGTTTAGTGTCACACCAATGCTAATTTCTTAGTGTTTGTAAAGGCATCAACATTATGAAAGATAATATTGGTGAAAGGTGTACTTGAATCCTATGTGATATCTTTATAATCTTTTATAAATCTAAAATTATTGAAAAATAAAAAGATTTTTTAAAAAATAATGATACCAGACTGATAGAGGACATCTTGGGAGTTTGAAAGGCAAACAGAATGGGGCAGAATCTCAGTAGTGAGAAGGACCTTGGGTACAATCTAGAGTAAATACTTATATCATAGTTCAGGAAGGCAGGCCAAAATCAATGAAGCAGTTACGTTAAATAAAGGTGCCATTACCCTAATCCTGATTTATGGAGTGCTTTGCAGCTTATAAAGTATTTCTCATTCATACTTTCATTTGCTCATTCATTCACTAACAAATGCTTATTATCACAAACTTTGCCAGCTCCCAGGAATATGAAGATCAATATCATCCAGTCTATGCCCTTAAGTTCTCCGTTGCTTAATTGTATTTGACCCCAATTCTGGGAAGTGGATAGGATTACTATTCCCAGTTTATACACAAAGGACTGTGGCTCAGAAGCATTAGGAGACTTGCACACTCAGAGCTAATGAGCAGCAAAGACCGAACCCAGGCCAACCAATCTTGTGCCACAGTGCTGTGGGGGATATTTGATGTCGGCGGTATTTTTGTTCTTAGATAAGCTGTAGTGAGTAATGGGTGAAAGAAGATATGGCATATAAGAACGACTTCTGAGGGCAAGAGTACTGAGAATGGAAGCAGAGGGTTATGGCAGATCCAGGAGTCTTGCCAACTTTCCATCAAGATCACTCCCCTAAATGCTAGCAGTCAATTGTCTGGGGGAACATGAGCTTTGCAAAAGTGGCTCTTGCTGTGCTCATAGGACATAATACAAGGTGCTTTAAAACCTTGTACACACACGCACACACACAAACACACATATATATTCACATATGTGTGAATATATACATGTATATAAAATAAAATGTATTTTTCAGATGAGAGAATGAAGTTTAGAGAGGTTGAAAAACTCAGTAGCAAATGGTGAAGCCAGAATTTGATTCTCAACTTTGTTCCCACATCCTGATGGTTTCAAAGAAGATAAGAGGCAGATTATTTCTCTAGCTTCTATAACAAAGACATACTGAGTTGGAAGGAAAAAACTGAATGTTTTTTTTTTTTGATAAAAAAAAAACCCCACAAAGGTGATTGAGAGTGAGAGGTGTGGAGCAGAGGAGCTCCTGAAGCTGTTTATTTTACACCCTCATCCTGCAACAGATTTTGTTCCTGAGGAAGTAGTGATGGGGAGGACAGATCACTCCCCCTGGTTCATGGACACTATTTGGAAGGAGTTACAAGCCCTTCCTGGATTTGAGTGATGAGTTTTGAAAAGCCAAGTCTGCCCCTAACCATGGAAAATGCTCTGATCATCCAGTCACTTGTTCATGCATCCATTTTTCCATGAAATATTTGCTGGACCCGGTGCCAGGCAGTAGGAAAATACACAAAGAAGATTGAATGATCTTTTCATGCAAGGACTTTGCCATCAGCTGGGGGCATTGCTATAAAAAGTGGGTGTGTATCAGAAGCTTAATCAACCAACCTCCCTGAGCTCGCTTTAGAGAACAGCTCAGCAAAGCATAGGAGTACACTGAGTAGAGACCATGCAGGGCGGCTCTCATAGAAGATACTCGTGACTGCCATGTGGAATAAATGAAAATGATGACAGTGATGCATAATTTATGAAGCATTGTAAGACACCATCCCTAGAATTTTCCATGTATTGCCTTATTGGTTCTTCATACTAACTTTAAGAAGTGTGTGCTATTATTATGTCTCTTTACAGAAGGAAAAAAAGGTTATGAAACCTTCCCCAGGTGACACAGTCAGGGTGGGTGCCCTGATCCATCATCGTAGCCCATCCACTAAATTACTCTGTTCCAGATGAGTGTGAAAACAAACCTTTACCAAGATCCAGATCTAGAAGGAATGATTTCAGTTTCTTGGTCACACACATCCCAAACTTAGTGCAGGTTCAGTCAACCAAAATATGAAGGCAGGGGGTCAAAGCTGGAGGAGGGGTGCTCCCTCCCAATGTCTAACTTTCACCAAATATTCTTAGGCCTTGGGACTGTAATGTCCAAATAACCTTCATAAGCAGTGTTATCTGAGGTGTTGTGAGAGAGACACACACTTCCTATGCAGGATGTGGGCCTGGCTAACAACTGGCAGGGAATTCAGGGGACTTGGACTGCCTTCAGCACTGGCACCCCATGAAATGGGGCAGTTTATCTTCTGACATTTATTTTTACTTAAGGGAACTTACCACCAGAGAAATGCTGTTCCCTGTGGTGGTTTTAGCGAACAACTGTTCTAGGGAAATCACAGCCCTGCTGAGTTCTGAAAGGGCCATTTTAGAGGAAGGCAGTGTTTTATTGATGGTAATGGGGAGAATTGGAGAGCAAAGGTTTGGGTACCTGCTCTTTTTGAATACATGTGAGATGTTTGTGACCCTTAGAACTTTCAATTGAAGTTACTCCCATGTATGTTGCTAGAATTCAGATAGACTAGAATGCCCCCAAAAGCCACTCTTCTAATAGCCCAGACCCTAGCTGTCCATCCTGATCACATGGCCCCCTTATATGTGCCAGGGGGTGTCCAAAGTGCTGGTCCCCCTGATGAGATGCAACAGTGGTAGAGCAAAGGAGGCTGCATCAATTTACATCCTAATATGATTTCTTAGTCTCCTTGATATATTTATCTCTTGATACAGCTGATCTCTCAGATCTGCAGAACTTCACACCAGCCCTGAGAACAGGGAATTCAGTCTAATCTGCATGGTCGACCAAATAGCAAACCCATCTCCTAATTTTTCTCTCAATTTGAAAGAGCTGTGATTAATCCAGTATAGTGGTGGAGCACAAGTTGGTTGAACAGAAGCATGAGTAGATAAGTGCATATTTGAAATTACCTATGTATGAATGAATGAATGAATGAATGAATGAATGAATGAGAGGGATGTATGCTCTCTGACTAGAGACATGAAATATATTTAATATCTAGTTGTGTGAGATTTACAGATTTTTTTTATTGCTAACAACTAAAAACAATAAAATGAACTACAGTTGTTGGAGATTTTACAGTTGTCAGCAAAGGCTGCTCACCTGTCAGCACAAGGTCCTTATTCTTACGTTATCCATTTTATTTTGGGGAAACTTTTTTTTTACTTGGAAAGAAGTGTTGTGCTCCAAGAGTTGACAGGCCATGACCCACTGACAACTGTAAGATCTGCTCACTGTAAGGGAATAGGATCCATGAGCAGAAGGATAGGAAATTTAAAAAGCAGAAGGAGCTAAAGACCTATTTTCGAAGGACTTGCAAAAGCTCTCACTCCACATAAGTCAGGAATCCACTGTGGCCTGGTAGAGACGGTCACCCTCATTGCAGCAAAAAATGGCGAGCCATAAGGCATTGGTGCGTTGGTGGGCTATGGGACTGGAATGGGAGAAAGTCGTGTTAGAGACTAAACAAAGGAAGATATGATTATATGGGTCTAAGCCAACTCTTGATAGGGAGCTGCTATGTAGATAAGGGGTCTGATTTCTAGACCAGCAGCAACCCAGATTGAGTAAAAAGTAAAAATTCATATGGTTGTAGGGAGGGTCTGCAGGCCCAAGTGATGGGGTAAACACTTCACAGCCCTCCCTAGGACATGTCAGTATGGAATGTGGATTCTTTCAAGCTGAGGTCACTTGAGGCCCTGCAGGACCTTAGGACACTCTTATGACTCCCTTAACTACCTGAAAGCTAGGCTTATTACCTGGGACCAGGACTTTCACCAGACTTTTCTCACCTTTCTGTCAGAAAAAGCTGTCTATATGGCAGGGCAAACACCTAGTTATAGAGCATCTGTTCTTCATCACATAGTCATCCTCTCCTCATCATGTAAGTCCCCCTCCTCCCTCCTAGAAGCCCCTAGAAGCCCCAGGCTCCTATCCTATTCCCTAGCTCAGGACAAATACTCTCATTCTACCCCGTGGACTGTAGAATCTACATCCATGTAGATTTTCCATGTCATTAAATTTTCTCTTTTCTGCTACTAATCTGTCTGATATTTGTTTGATTGCTTGGCCATCCAAAGAAGAACCCTGAAGGGTAGAGGGACATTTCCTCCTCACCTCAATGTCTCTTTGAAGAACTAGAACTGAGCAGCAACAACAGGCTGAGACCCTTAGAGGGAATTTGCGTTCAGTTCAGTTGGTCTATCACCACCATGGCTTCTCTATGCCAGGACCCATGGTGGGCAATGGGAACAGAGTTCTCACCACAATACTCCCTGACCATGCAGGGATTATAGTCCTATTTGTGGTAGAGATTCCTGAATAATTAGTGGTTCCAGCTGGTTCACCCTGGACAAATCATTTTTGCCCATCTGGACTTCATCTGCTTCCTAGGGTCATAGTGAACAAGCACCGCTGTGCTCAATGTTCAGGGTTCACCTCTTAAGCAGAAGAAACCATTATTTGAAGTCATCATTTCATTGTTTCCCTTTGTCTCCTTTGTATTTTAAACTCAAGTAGAGTGAATTACATTTTTTTATTTTAAAAAGCATGAATAATACAGTCTTGCATTTGCAAATTTCTAGATGCCTTTAATTACATCCATTTATGCACCTTTCCATCTAGCAGTATATTCATAGCAGTCTATCCAGAGCAGTGTTCCCCAAATTTCTTTCAATCAAAAGACTCTGAATCACTTGAAGTTTAATGATGAGCAATATATCATTTCTACAAATATACCAGAGTGTGTGTTATTTGTACAAAAAAATAGAATAATACATTGTTAGAATTCTAGGTCCTAACTCAGCAGCTATAGGAACTGGGGGTCTGGAAGGGGTCAACCTGAGTGTCATTGGAGTTGGTTTACTTGAGATTGTTCTCTTCCCTTCAGGTACCAGACATGCTCCAACAATGGACTGGTGGCAGGGTTTCAGAGCCGCTACTTCGAATCGGTGCTGGATCGGGAATGGCAATTCTACTGCTGTCGCTATAGCAAGAGGTGCCCCTATTCCTGCTGGTGAGTCTAGTGGCCAGAGCCAACCTGTTTGGACCCCTGTAGCTGGAGAGGAGACTGAGTGCACTTTTTCTGCTTTCAGATAAGCCTGGGCTGTCAGCAACATGCTCTGGACATGGCAGCTAGCATATAGAATGGAGCGAGTGAATGAATGAATGCAAGAATGAATGAATGAACAAATAAATAGGCTAAAAAAACTTTCATACTGGGAGGAATCTTACAGGTCATCAACTCCATGCCCCTACACCCCTTTTCTTGATACAAAAGAAAACAAATAGAAAAATTTTCCACACTCACCTGCTGTTTCCGAAGGATATGGCCTCAGACCTTCGGTCTGCTGACTCCTGTTCTAGAGCTCTTCCTTCTATCACACTAACTTCTCATCACATCCAATGCTGCTGGGCATGTTTGGGGATATATTTTTCCTATGTTTTCCTTCTTTGGAAAAAAAACAGCCTTGTCATAGGTCAGAGTCACACACATAGTATATAATTATAGATGGGAGGAGGGGGAATAGGTGAGTATTTTCTAGATCGATTTGTAATTCTATTCTATCTAAGTCTGAAATTTTATTCCTTTCCCGCTCTCTGAGTGACACCAAATATTCCTGACCTAGGCTTCAAATTGACAAGGAGAATGTGTATATATTTATTCCCACCGATAACTTACACCAGGTGTTGACAACACTTGTCTCAAGTTCTTTAGTCTGCAAGCAATCCAAGCATTTCTGCCTGGGACAAGGGGATCCCGACATGTCAACATTTGAAGGCTGACTCATTGAAGTGATTTATCTCTCTACAGGGTGATGCTGGAAGGGCAGCCATGCGGGTTATGCTCATTCTCTTCAACTAGACAGAATTACTCCACAGATGCCGCAGTGGGACATAATGTTTCTAGAGACAGGCTACTCCAAAAGCTTAACATTTTTTTTCTGTTGAAAGTAATGACAAATGGTAAATTCAGAGCTCAAGGTCAGCTGATAGCAGCAGCAATATGAGGGAGCAAGGACAGGTTCTAACTCCCAGCACGACAGGGAGTGGCATGTCTAAGATGTTTGACAGAACTATGTCGGGTCCTGAATCCAAGACCTTCAGGGCCCACTGGGTGGAATAGAGAGAAGCAGCATTAAAGAGGGCAACAAAAAAACCTAAATTCTCTTCTCTGTGCTGACCCTCCTCTCTCCCCTTAAGCCCCTTTCTCCCCTCCCTACTAGAACTATACCATCTTGGAAAGTTACTTTACTTCTTTAAAGAAACTCACCTCTATCACTCAAAATGATGTCCACCTTTTCTGAGTCTCTGAGATGTCTGAGAATGTGACGAAAACTATAGGCCATGCTTTCAGGGTGAAAATGCACTTAGCACATCTATCCAAAACCAGAATCTCAGTGGCCAACAAACTCCAGGACTAAAAGATCTTTCAGCTTTCTCTAAAAATGTTTCCCTAAAAACTTCTTGACTCCAAGAGTACTATTGCAAAGACAACCCCAATGTCTTTACTGTTTTTAAAGTGGGAATGGAGTTTCTACAGATTACTGAGTCCCAAAGAGAGTGGAGAGTAGGTAAGCACCTACCTATCTGCACTGACCCAAAGAGCTTGCTTGACCTTCCCCAGTGGGCTACAGAATGCACCCCCTTTGTTTGGAGACATTAAAAACTATCTGAGGGGCCTCCCTGGTGGTGCAGGGGGTTAAGACGCAGCACTTTGAAGCTATCCAAGGCTATGCAGCATGAGTCCGATCCCCTGCCAGGGAGCTACCCACATGGTGCAGCAGACCTCTCCTGTCTCACCCGCTGCTCCCTTCAGCAGTGTATTTCAGTAGATCTGCCTGTTCTGCTCCCCACTCTGTCTCTGGTGAATCCTCTCACCCACCCCCACACCTCTGGTCTGTACCCCAGCTCTTGTATGCATAAATAAATAAATCTTTTTTTAAAAATGGATTATCTAAAAGACTAAGCAGCAAACTAGTACTCAGGCAGTTAATTCATCACTATTTTAGTAAGACTTTCCCTTAGCCATGTTCCAAAAGAGTATTTCTGAGTTGGGTTACCCTGGACTGCTGGAGAAGTGAGTTTAGGAAGGAAAGGTGGTAGAAGGGAAGTCATCCCAGAGTGGGCTATGGTGAGAGGATGGACAGCCTTGTGTCAACAGGAGGACCCTGTCCCCCTGTGGGGGAGCATGTTCCTTGACCTTCCTTGATACCACTTTACCTTCCTTATGCCACTTAATACTCTACATTCTTGCTACATAGTATGTTTCCCACTTTCTACCTAGACTGGGGGAATCTGGAGGAAACACAAGACTCTTTGGTCTTTGTATCCTCAGTGCCTGGAATAGTGCTTGGAACACGTGTCAATTATTTTTTTTATTAGATAATAAATTTTATTGTTATATTCCCCATACAATTGCAGCGCCCCCATTCTGACCCCAATCCCTCCCCTCCCGCCCCTGCCCCCCTAAAAGTGTCTCTGGTTCATAGTTTTTTGTTGATTTTGATTTTCACTTTCTTATAGTTATTCATTTTCCTGGTCCCTTATTTAAGTTTTCTAGATTCCTGCTATGAGTGAGACCATCCGGTATTTTTCTTTTTCTTTTTGGCTTATTTTGCTGAGCATGATCCCTTCCAGCGCCATCCATGTTGCTGCAAATTGCATGTGTTTATCTTTTTTGAATGCTGAGTAATATTCCATGGTATATATGTACCACATCTTCTTGATCCAGTCATCTATTTTTGGCATTTGGGTTGTTTCCAAAGCTTAGCTATTGTAAACAGTGCTGCTATAAACATAGGGGTGCAGGTGTTCTTTGGAATGGATGTTTCTGTGTCCTTTGGGTAAATACCTAGGAGTGGAATTGCTGGATCATATGGAAGCTCTATGTTTAGTAGGTCCAGAAATCTCCACACAGCTTTCCACAGTGGTTGGACCAGTTTGCACTCCCACCAACAGTGCAGAAGAGTTCCTTTTTCTCCACACCCTCGCCAACATTTGTTGTTGCTAGTTTTTTTTAATATGTGCCATTCTCACTGGTGTAAGATGGTATCTCATGGTAGTTTTGATTTGCATTTCCCTGATGACAAGTGATGTTGAACATTTTTTCATATGCCTGTTGGCCATTTGCATTTCCTCTTCAGAGAAGTTTCTTTTTAGCTCTTCTGCCCATTTTTCGACTGGATTATTTTCTTTGTTGTTGTTGAGTCTCATCAGCTCTTTGCAGATTTTTGTGATCAGTCCTTTATCATTAGTGTTGGGTGCAAAAATGTTCTCCCAGTTGGTGGGGTTTCTCTTTGTTTTTGTTATTGTCTCTTTTGCTGTGCAGAAGCTCTTTAATTTGATGTAGTCCCAGCTGTTTATCTTCGCCTTCACTATCACTGCTTTGGGTGATGTGTCTGTAAAGATGTCTTTGATGTGCAAATCACGTAGTGTTTCGCCTATATTTCCTTCTATATATTTTATGGTTTCAGGTCTTATGTCTAATTCTTTAATCCATTTTGAGTTGATTTTTGTGTATGGTGTGAGGTAGTGGTCAAGCTTCATTCTTTTGCATGTAGCGACCCAGTTTTCCAGCACCATTTATTGAACAAACTTTCTTTGCTCCAATGCATAGTCTTTGCTCCTTTGTCAAAGATTAGTTGACCATAAATCTGTGGGTTTATTTCTGGATTTTCTATTCGATTCCATTGGTCTGTATGTCTGTTCTTGTTCCAATACCATGCAGTTTTGATGATTATGGCTTTGTAGTAGAGTTTGAAGTCTGGGAGTGTGATGCCTCCATTCCCTTCTTTTTTTTTCAGGAGAGCTTTGGCTATTCGGGGTTTTTTGTGATTCCATATGAATTTCATCAATAATTGTTCTATTTCTTTGAAGAATGACATTGAAATTTTGATTGGAATAGCATTGAATCTGTATATTGCTTTTGGAAGGATGGCCATTTTAATAATGTTTATTCTTCCAATCCATGAGCAGGGGATGTCTTTCCATTTCTTTGTGTCTTCTTCTATTTCTTTTAACAGTGTTTTATAGTTTTCTTTGTATAGGTCCTTTACCTCTTTTGTTAGATTTATTCCCAAATATTTGATTTTTTTTTTCAATAACGAAAGGGATGGTTTTTTTGATTTCTTCTTCTTCAGATTTATTGTTTGTGTATAGGAAGGCTACTGACTTTTGCGTGTTGATTTTGTATCCTGCCACTTTACTGAACTGATTGATGAGTTGAATTAGCTTTTCTGTGGAGTTTTTGGGGTTCTCTATGTATAATATCATATCGTCTGCAAATAGTGATAGTTTGACTTCTTCTTTTCCTATTTGGATTCCTTGGATGTCTTTCTCTTGTCTTATTGCCCTGGCTAGGACTTCCAGTATTATATTGAAAAGCAGTGGTGAGAGTGGACATCCTTGTCTTGTTCCAGATCTTAATGGAATTGCTTTCAGCTTTTCACCATTGAGAATGATACTGGCTGTTGGCTTGTCATAGATGGCCTTTATGATGTTAAGGTATGTTCCTTGTATCCCAAGAATTTCAAGGGCTTTTATCATGAATGGGTGTTGCACTTTGTCGAAAGCTTTCTCAGCATCTATTGATATTATCATATGGTTTTTATATTTCTTTTTGTTGATGTGTTGGATAACGTTGATTGATTTTCGGATGTTAAACCATCCTTGTGCCCCTGGAATGAATCCTACTTGGTCGTGGTGAATTATCTTATGGATACATTGTTGGATTCTGATGGCTAAAATTTTATTGAGGATTTTTGCATCAGTGTTCATTAGGGAGATTGGCCTGTAGTTTTCCTTTTTTGTGTTGTCCTTGTTCGGTTTTGGTATTAGTGTAATGTTGGCTTCATAGAACGTGTTTGGTATTGTCCCTTCCTTCTCAATTTTTTGGAAGAGTTTGTGAAGGATAGGCACTAATTCGTCTCTGAATGTTTGGTAGAATTCATTTGTAAATCCATCAGGTCCTGGGCTTTTGTTTTTGGGGAGGTTTTTGATTACCATTTCAATTTT